TATAGTTCTGCTCGATCGATAACCTCTTCTTCAAGGGAAGGAATAATTGCTACATATAATACTTTGATCGAGGGATATCCAATCTGATCAACGTGCTTTTTTTTAATATGTTTTTCCTGTTGTTGGAGGACAATAGCAAGTGTTTGGACTATTGACCAAGTTTTCCTGGTCAGAGATTTATTTATGTTTCCTCATGTCTTTTTCTTGTCCATGTCCACCGATATTTAATAATTCTTGCTTGTGAAGAGTTTTAGAAATTTACATGTGGTGTTATGGCTATTTTTCTATCATTTTCTATTTGGATTCCTTTTGTTCATCGTATTTGTTTAATCATTCATGGTTTTCTCTGGTTTTCTTTAAACCAATATATTGTGTTCTTGTGATATAGAGCTCATATAAAACCTAAATGTTGAGTAACTTTATATCGTGATTGATGGGTCAGCATGGGTTGATCTGATTCTGAGTGTGTAGAGTCGCCCAAGTGATTGTTTAAACAAGGTAGTCGGTGTCAGGCCGGGTCCAGGCTTCATCTCTATAATCGATCTAAGGTAAAGCAAGGAGTTGCTCTCCCTCTCTCGTTGGATTGTTGCTTCTTCGTTGTCGAGTTCCTATACACAAGTCAAAGTCAGGAGGGAGATTTCCTGACTCGACGTATCCAAAGCTTAAGTCAGTGTTGAGTAGTATTAGGGGGAGTTTGAGTGTTCGAAGTTCAACCTTTAACACTAATCAGGAGGTTGAATTTTATACCTACAAACGAAGGTCGATCGTATATGGTCTATTAATGGTCAGCTCATACTAGTCATAGGTGCCTTGCAAGCGAATCATGTGAGTGATGACACGTGTGACATGACACGCAGTTTTTCGATTATTAATATTATTATTATTATGATAATTTATCACTTTATATTGCTTGTTGCACAAATATATTGTGATGTTCATGGATCTGTGCAATAGGAATCAGATCGTGATGAGATCATGAGACCGATTCATCTTTAAACATAGGCCATAAATAATTTTGGTCATAAGTTACTCGAGAGGGACATCCAGATAACCGGATAAACTAGTATACTGTATACTCGTCCATATGATGGAGACGACTAGTCTCATAGCTGCTCGTGTGAGGACACTTAGGATATAATGTAGGTGCTCATTGGAGAATAAGTTTACTTATTGATCCGCTCACTGTATGTTGGATGATTAATGATACCTTTTTATCAAACATCGATTTTGTAGTCCCAATAAAGTATCTGGTCCTTAGACTTGAGACACTAAGGATGTTTTGTATGGGTACTCCACTCTTTGATATCGGAATTATAGGTTTAAAAGTTTCAAATTTAGTATAGTTGGTCATTGGGAGTAGTAGCCAACCTTACGAGGACTATTGAGTGTCGATAGAGGATCATTCGCTCTCGATATCATGAGAGGAATATCATGTGTGTTCTTACTCATATAAATCCTTAGCCAAGATCGTTCGAATTGAGAGAGAAAGAGTTCTATGGGAGAATCCAATTACAATGAGACTTGAGGAAAAACCGTATGAATCTAACATCATGCTTGGTATACGATTTTTAGGATATTAGATGGATGAGAGACTATAGATACATGATAGCTGAAGATAGATAGGTCCAAAAGATTGGATTCTCCTATATCATCTAGGGACTACGACGTAGTGGCTTAGTACGTCCGCAGTCGATGAGTCGAATGAATTATTATGAATATAATAATTCATTGATTCAGAAGGAGTTCTGATAGATATAACTCATGACCAGCTCGATATTAGGCCTCGAAGGTCACACACATATAATAAGGGTTGCGATGAGTAGTGGTTTAAATATGAGATATTTGTTAGAGTTCCTATCTTATTGGATATCCAATAAGCCCCTGAATTATTGGATCCCATAGATGGGATCCAATAAGAGTTAATAAAAGAGTACTGAGTAGAGACTCACTAATCTAAGATGCTTGAGTTATTGGATAGAGATCCTATACCCAATAGGGTAGGATCCATTTGTGTTAACTAGGAGCCTCTATAAATAGAAGAAAACTAAAAGCCTAAAGGTTGGGGCTTTTTGGTTGCTAACTCCTATTTTCCTCTCCCCTTCTCCTCCTCAGATAGTAGGTATGTGGATTTGAGGAGCGTCGTCACAGCACTGTTGTTGTATGGATCGCCACTAGAAAGCAGGTAGTTTTGGTGGCTACTGTTCATAAGATTTGAGAGAGATGGTTCTACACATGTGATACACATGCGCTTCCATATGGGTAGTGTGCTAATAAACTAAAACATTTATATATATGAAGTCTTCATCATTTCGTAAATAATACACACACGAATAAACATATAGTTCTGCTCGATCGTAACCCCTTCTTCATGGGAAGGAATAACTGCTACAGATAATACTTTGATCGAGGCATATCTAGACTAATCAACATGCTTTTTCTTCGATATGTTTTCCCTATTG